ACGCGTGTATTTGATTCATGCATTAAATATTTAAATATTAAAAATATTTATCTAGTTTTTTATATAATTTCATCAAATACATAAATTTTTGCTTAGTAAGCAGTGGCTAGACTTTTATTTGATACATTTTAACTTTTACCTAATACTTTGCATGATTGGGATCAAGGTCTTCCCGTACTGATGTCACAATTAACCATAATTTAATATAATTTCTGGAATGTATTACCTCATAATTGTTGGACAGAGTAATCCAGGAATGTAATATTTGATGAAACTTTACATTTCGGTGGCCTACATCAATTTCACCACTTATTTGTTTTTGATCAAAAACGATTTCACCAAATCAAGTCATATAACTTCATTTGGGGCAAACAGGAGGTTATATTGCATCGAGCTTCCTTGTGTGAACAAGCCCATTTTGCTTGCTGAATTGTACAATTAATATAGGTGACTAATTTCATTAAGCCAGCTTCTTAATACTAAGAGTTTATAAAATAATATTATTTAGCAAAAATACTGTTAGCTAAATAAGTTAGTTACTCTTCGCCCACTATTATCAGTACCGAGTTCACCTGAAAGCCAGGTTCATTAGGGACTCCCCACCTAGATGTGGATTGTAGAATTCCCATTGCTACTCTAGTCCCATAAACATAATGCAATGTAATATGGACCTACTCCTTTAATACTGTTCATAGGGGTTGATGTGCCCTAGTTCTAAACCGAAATTAATTTATGGGGAAACTTTCATTTCATATAAAATGGCATAAAGAAGAGATTCAAAAGTCGATCTCACCAGAAGAGGACGACTGATTCTCGTTGTACTGCAGCCATATGGATTCAACACGACGTTTAGGTTGACACAGTCCACGAGACCTCGTCTCCTGTTTCGGGTGAAAACTGGCTGAGTTCCGTCCATCATATGATGGAACTCATTATTGTAAAAGTCCGCGTTAACACCGGGTCAAGAAGATTATCTGGCTCTATCTAATCTCTTCTATAGCTTCTGGGCCTAGTGTAAACATGAGACTTTTGTAAGAATGAGTTCCAGTTCTGATGATGTCCATCATATGATTGACGAAATCTCAGCCCTTTTTCACCCGAAACGAGGGAGGAGGTCTCGTGGACTGCGTC